TTTTTTGGCAAGAAAGCAAATAAGCATAGTTACAAAAATACCACATTTTTGCTTTAAGGGGGGTTTACTGTTGAAAGAACTTTATTATGCTGTTTTTTGTGCTTACATGTTAAATATTTCTAGATGAACGTGCTTCATAAAATTATTTTTCAGTGTAATAAAAAAAAACTGTACACATTGCACAAAAGGTGTGAAGGAGGTTAAACGGGGGCCCTGTGTCTGATTTTTCCCCCAGGGTCCATGCTCTTGGTCAACTACAAGAGTTAAATTTAATTTAAATTGTCTGTTTAATGGAATGTTATAAGGAAGGAGAGAGCAGCTATTACATAAAATTGTACTTATACATATATTGCATCACAATAATATTCACTAATACAGTACAGTATGTAGTGAGCTGAGGCAGAACAACAATACTGGAGAAACAACTTGAAAGGGATTTCAATGAAGTCAACTTATTTATTTTAAACAAATCAATACATTAAGTAAACTGATAAATTCTTGTTTATGGTTCATTGCAGCCATTGTGAATCACCCGAAGGGGATAATTTGAGAAGTTTACATTAGTTTTTGTTTCTTGATGTGGTACTTTCTCTCTTTGCCCTGTTGGTATCCACCTATTGAAATTCCTTTCGCTCTGTAGACTCTATTAACCGAAACAATAAAAAGCCATTTTGGAAATAATTTCTGGCTAACTGTAGTTGGTTGTCCAGTCAGCTGGAAAAAAAGGTCAAATGACTTTGAAAAAAGGAAATCCACCAATTTTTTCTACATGACAACATGCAGGTTTTTAAAAAGGAAAACACACCCAAAGGTAAAAGGGTGTGTTATGTAAGCCCCATGAGGAGAATTTGTGATAATGGGTCGCAAAAATAAAATTGAATTGACCTGACTGACAGATGGGCTCAGGGGAGTTTCCCAGTGTGTTGGGAAAATTACTGAATCCATTGGAGAGAGGGTTTTTTGTTTGTTTATTTGTTTGTTTGTTTTACACTAGCACAAAACTGCCCACTTTCTTCAAACATAAACTGGTTTCAGCCTTCAGAAACCCATATTTAGTGATTGTGTGTGTGTGTGTGTGTGTGTGTGTGTTTTGAGCATGTTAATGCAAGTGGTAGTTATGTACCTTCCAGCTCCAAATCTTCCCTCTCGGGATGTATGTAATAAGTCCACGTCTTATTTATGCACTCATCTCCCCTAAAATTATTGTAAAAATAGACACACACATTGAGGATTAAAATACACACAACATGAAAACTTTCAATTTTGAAAAATACATTTACACCTTTTACACTTTCTAAACATCACTTCCCAAATTTTAGTATCTATTTATGGTCCTGGGTTTTTTTAGTTTCTGTTACTTCTCATGACACTTTGTTGTTATAACTATGCTGTAAAGCAGATTCATACACATGTATGAAACATGTTATATTATTAACTTCATATTAAAACTTTGATATTGTCAGTGGTGGTAAACTATATTTAACCTATGTAATGTACTTAAGTACAGATTTGACCTTGCTAGAGTATTTCACATTATGGTACTTTATACTATCTACTTCACTACAGTTCAGCACAATTTATACCACAATTTTGTGGTACTACACCACATTTAGGTATAGTTAGTTACTTTTCAGATTAAAATTTTACATTAAAACACATGATGAGCTTTTAAAATATAATACATCGTTAAAGACTGAAAGAATGGTTTCAGCAAACCAAATATTATATAAAGGGTTCCTTCCCTATTAGTTATGACATTAACACATCATCAAACCATAACCTTTTGATCTTATCTTATGAGTCATTGGAGGGGCCTGACCCGTTTGGAACCACAAAACTTCCTAGCTGTATATAAAGTAAGTAAAACTAGCTGTTCCTTGACTAGGGGCAGCATAACAACAATCTAATAATATAATGCATAATTATATGTAAATTTTCTGCAAAAATGTGATACTTCAGATCTATTTGGCTAAAAATGGTTATGTACTTTTAGATTAGGGATTTATAATGGAGTGTTACATTATATTCAGATCCTTAAGTAAAAGATCTGAGTACTTCTTAAATCTATTAGATTCAATCCAAACTCAAATATGTTTCTTAATGTGAGTTCAAATAGTCACATAAAACTTTACCTATAAAACAAAAGAATTCTAAGCCTTAATAAACATTTCCACTGTATTATATTGACTTATACCCACCTGCTATATGATGAACTCAAAAAGTGATGGTACATCACTTATCATGATGAATGTCGTATGAAAACCTCAATTCTAGAGTGAATAGCTTCATATTTTGTATATCATATATGCATATTCTTGCTGCATCTCATTTTGGAGAATGGTTGTCTGACTTGGTCATCAGCTGCATCACGAAAGATGCAGATGTGATGCATGTTGTGAAAAATTTGAACTTCTTTTCACTTTCATTTTTAATCCCTCTAAGATGAGGTATGTGTGTATTTGCTCCTCACATGCGCATGTGTCCGGACAGCAGCAGCGTGTCACTGGCTGTCTCCTCCATGTTGAACAAAATGTTGTCCATTGCTTTGAACTTCTGGATGTCAGCCTTTCTTTGACTGACTGCTGCTTTGAAATACCATTTCCCCAGATACTAAAAGACGCAGAGAAACAGAGTGAGATGGAATAAAAGCGTGGGATGGCAGGCATGATATATTAACAGAACCTATTTTAAGCTATAAGCCCACAATTTCTGGCAGAGACCATTATAGGAAAGAACAGAGGGAGTGAAAAGTGCGTCTCTCTATGTTTATCTCTGTTAATCTCCATATATCTGCAGTAAGTGTGATATTGTGCATTAAGCAGCAAGTTACCAGAGTTATACAACAATACTAACAGTAAAATTAGCTTACATTACATGAAATGTATCATTAAATTCAGTTTTTCTGCAAAGTCAGCCAAAACAAAGTGCCAGTGACATAAATATTTAATCATTTTCACACTTCCTGATACCAAAATCAAAACTTTTAGACATTTTGGTAGCAATGATGTTGTATTGCATTTTCATAATTTAGAAAATCAAAATTGAATTTTATTTCTCACCTGCTGACGGTTCACAGTGTTTGCAGGCAGTCTTTCAGGAACTGAGCAGGGAACAATACCCTGACACAACAAACTATATAAATACAGAAAAAATGACCATGCTTCAGCCAACATAACGGCGGTCTTATTTGATATTTAATAATAAACCTGATTAGAATGCCTGCATATTCTCAGGACACTCTCTGAATTTGTGTAATGTTCCAACAAGTCACTTTAAAGGAGTGTGGGTGTGGGTAAATTATTAACCTCTGTAGCTGTAATACCACTGATCTGAACTGAATGTGAGGTATCTGTGTCCTTGAAAATAAAGGATTCAGGAAAAGCATGTTTATAGTAAAATTAATCATTCTTTCATGCAGTGCGTTTTACCCAGTTTCCAAAATCGTCTTTTAGGAGAAACTTACATTAAGCACTCTCACTAACTGAGTCACCATCATATGTAGGAGGTGGTGGTTTCTTTTAACTCACTTAAAGCTGCAGTTAATCATATACAGTCCTGGTAAAGTACAATCTCAAGTATTCTTCAAAAACACTGGAAGAAAACAGAACATTGCTGATTTGTTTGCGTTCACTCTGTCTTGCCACACACACACTCTGTCAACATACATCTACTAGGAATCATTAACTACATGTTTGAAATTAGCTTTTTTCTATCAGCCTACACTAGTGCTGATGTGTCTCTATCAGGTTACGGGAAACAGAATTGCAAGAACACAAACACACACACAGCTAACACAATCTGTCAGTTATTTTCTCGGTTAATCAATTCATCTCTTATAAAATGTCAGAAAAGGGTAAAATATACCACACAAACAAACAACCTATGTTGACATACTCAAATGACTTGTTTTGTCCTAACAGCCTGCCAACCATCCTCTCCTCTCTCTCCATGCATCTATATGCCACCATTACATGAAATTAACTTTGTGTCTCCTCTCTTGCTCTCCCTGTACTTTTCTGCAGGTAGCCCTGGCTCTGGAACTGCACATTTCTAATGAGCAGTCACCGGCCACATCAACCTGCCCAGTGTTTGTTGTTGTGTTTATTGTGTCTTGTTGCTTTAATTTCCTCTCTCCACTCACCTTTTCCAGACAGAGTGAGTGGATAGAGCTCCGACAAACCTTTGAGGTTTCCTCTGTTAAAGGCAGTTTTTCCTCCCTGCTGTCACAAAGTGCTGCTCAATGGGGATTTGCTGGGTTTTTCCTCTATAATGATAATAGTAAGGGCTAGATCTTGCTTTATAAAGCAGCTGACTTTTGATTTGGTGCTATACAAATAAAATTGAATTGAAAACCAAAAGATATTTAGGAGCGAATATTCACTTTGTTGAACCAAAAACCAATATGTTGTAAATTCAAATTATTGACTGATATTTGAATACTTGACTAAGCCTTTCAACTCTAACATAGGTTATCCTGAGGTCAAAATATCAGGTTATGCTTGTCTTCTAGACCTACATCCACAAGGTGGTGTCAAATAACTGGTTTGCACACATTAGACCTGTATGAACTTGTCTATAAATTCCCCAGTTGATTGTGTTGGGTTTGTTTTTAACTTTTTAACGTATTTTATATTTTGTTTTATATTTTTAGTGAGTTATCTATTCTATTTATTGGTATGTGTGTTTGATATTGATTTTGAACCGCTGCTGAAACAATGCAATTTCCCAGATTGGGATTAATAAAGTATTTCTATCTATCTATTTCTATCTAAATCCACTGAGCAGGCCCAGGTGATAAGAGGAATTGTGTCTACAGATCATTTTAACTTGATAAAATCTACATTGTAGTGTATATTATGCAGTGTAAAATGACATGTAGAATCCAGTTTCATTGCTATCAGTTTCTGTGTGTAGGACAACATTTAAAGCTACATTTCAATAACACTGAGTTAATGGAAGCTGCACAAAAAAAAGACAATTCAATTTGTAATAATAAATTCAATTTTATTTTTTGGTTTAATCATAGCATTATTGATGAACAAACAAAATGTGCCACATAGAACTAGTTCTAAGCATTTCAGCTAGTGATTCTTAGATATAGTAAAAGACTATTTTAATGTATTTCAGAAAGTGTGGATAGACTGCCATGGAGAGTCAAGCACTTTACCAGTCAAAAAATAATGGTTTGCTGTATATAAACTTGCTCTCAAGTGTGAACCTACAGTGTGCACTCCCAGTGTCAAACTGCAAGAAGCCGGGGGTTTAACCAATCACTAACTGCAGGGTTTTCTAAACTCAGTTAAGCACAAGGATCATCCAATTTTGACTTCAAATATTTCTGAAGATTTATCTCCTTCTATGGAAAATTCAGAATGAAACCAAGTTCTCACTGTTAACTGCACTTTAATTTTTCAACATGAACTGATCCAACTGCTACAATAATTCAGTTATAAATTGGCAATTAGATTATTATCTCGAATTCCTTTGAGGAAATTCTCTCTTTCACTTCCTGCCCCTCTAATAGTGTTGCATCAATGACTGCAGGCCAATCTGGACATGTGTGGTAGTTTCTTGTTCCCTCTCTCTGACTGCATGGCAAATCCACCTATGACTCCCCCTTCAGCACTGACATCAGGTCTCCACTCTCCTTCAGCTCTTTGACAATGTCCAAACCTCCAATCAGCTCCCCTTTCACATATAGCTGGGGGTAGGTTGGCCAGTTAGAGTAAGTCTTCAGCCCCTGACGCACTTCTTCATCCTGCAGAATATCAAAGGTGTCATAATCCACACCTGTGCTATTCAAAATCTCCAATATCTGCCTGCTGAAACCACATTTTGCAGCCCCCTTGTTGCCCTTCATGAACAGCATGACCAGGCTCTGGTTGATGATGGTCTTCAGTCGGTGCTCCAAGTTGACAGCTTTTGGGCAGGTGTTCTCCAGCTCTCCAGACTCTGCCAGCTCTTTCACTATGTCCAGTCCCCCCACCAGCTCTCCGTTCACATACAACTGAGGGTAGGTGGGCCAGTTGGAGTAGGTCTTCAGCCCCTGTCGGACGTCCTCATCAGACAGGATGTCAAAGCTGCTGAACTGAATGTTGTGCTCCTTCAGCAGGGCCACTATCTGCCGGCTGAAACCGCAGCGGGGCTCTTGTGGGGACCCTTTCATAAAGAGCATGCAGGGTGCCGCGTTGATCAGCTTCTTGAGCCGCTGGTTCAGATCTGTGGTGCTAGTTTCCGCAGTTTCCCCTACACTCTTAGTCACTGCCAAGCGTTGCACCTTCTTGGTCAGCTCTGGCGCATGGGCCCCGTCCAGGCGGTCCACTTTTTCTCCCCCCTTAAAGAAAAGGAAAGTAGGAACAGAGGACACTTCGTACTTCTCCGAAACCTCTGGCACCGCTTCCGCCTCCAGCTTGATAAACGTGGTGTGCATGTGCTCCTTGGCCAGCTCGGCCATCACTTCGTTCATTTGTTCGCACTGAGGCGCCCATGCCGCCTGGAAATGCACCACAGTAAGGCATTTTCCAGCTCTAGCTAAGAAATCTTCAAACTGCTGTTGGGTCGTCACTTCCACGAAATTCGCCATTTTTTCCTTTCTCTTGCACAGCGGTTCCGGTCTTGTCCTGACGTCACATCCTACAGCTCGGTAGCTTCTAGCAAGTATCAGAGCTTCTACTACGTGTTATTTGTTGATAAGAAGCAGCTTCATATAGTGGATAAGCTAAACGGATAGTGCGGCCTTTAAGGTAACCGTTTAATAACACTGATATGCCTTAATTTCTCTGATATGAGCTAAATGTAAGGCTTAGCTTAGGCTAACATTATTTAGCATTGTCTTAGCCTAGTTAGCTTCTCAAATGACTGCCTTGTTTCCGAGATAAGCTAACGTTAAGCTAAATCCGCCTAACAAGCCAGTGGTAGCTAACGGTAGTTGGCTAGCATTATCCGATTAACGTTAGCATTACTAAATGTTAATCTTCAAAGTGGTGAATTAAGGTTTGAAATCTAAAGTGTCCGTGCCGTTGTCTGAACCAGCGAGGTACAGCTTCGCTAACTTAACTTAGCTAACGGTAACGTTACGTTACGTTAAGGTAAGTTGGTTGACATTGCGTTGCTAACGTTAATTAGCAAGCAGACTTCGAATGGTTAACAATTAGACATCAGTAACCGTTCAGATTTGACAGAATAAGCAAGAAACAGAATTTTTTGTCTACTTGTTTACTACCCACCTAACGTTAAATCTGGACAACATTAACACGAGAGGTAGCGCTAATTTTTAGATTAGTTAAACGTAAATTTGTGAAACCTCAAGATCGTCTATTTCACTATATGGATAGGATTAAACAAATATACACATGCTATTTGCTTGACCTCTAAACCATTGCTGCATTTCTTATTGTTACTGATGTTAAGGAAGTAACATTTAGCCAGTTTTGTAACGATTTAGTTTTATGAGCATGCATTTGATCGTGGATGTTATTCATTATATTTTTGAAGTACTAATGTATTGTAATAATTTGTGAATAAATGTACGTGTGTCTAAGTGCACTTTGTGGGACTGAAACATACAATTGTTTTCGTTATTGGTAAATCTGCCGATTAATCATTTATTCTATGAAACAGCAAAAGCTCCCATCACAAATTTGCAGGCAGTCTTTCAGGAACTGAGCAGGGAACAATACAATACAAATTTGATAGTTCTTGATTATTATTCTGTCAATTGATTAAATAACTAATTGTTTCATCCCCAAAACAGAGTAATAGATTGGTGTCACATGTTTTCAGAGCCCATGGTGATGCTTTCAAAGTCCTTGTTTTGTCCATGTGGAAAGTTAGGATTAATTCAGACTGGTGTTAGAAATTAACCCAATTCTTTTGTTGGAAGCATGAGAAGTGAAGATGGGAGAGGACTCTTTAAAATCAACAGAAAGTTTACTGAAAGTCTGATCACAGGTCGGTCTTACAGCACTGGGATCAGAGAGACAGAGCTCCCAGAGGAATTCCATTCTCTGAACCCTGAATTAAGTTCTTACAATACATTTTATCTTTTTGGGCTGCTCCGCCCTGGACAGTTTGTGATCCTATTGGTCATTTGGTGTGAGCCGGAGCTCACACTTCCATGTTGAAATATGGTAAATCTAGGTATGTTTGTGTGTCTCAGGTGGCAGTTTGGTCTTGATCAATGGGCCCAAAACAGTGGGTGGCCTGAGTTGCAGGTCCCCTGTGTGTGTGATGCTATTAAGTATGCTAAACTGACCAGGTGGTCATCTCAGGTTGTAGCCCCCGTCCTCTGTAGGACATCCCAAGACAAAGCAAAGCTTGGGATAAGCTAAGTGGGTCGAGGTATGAGTGTAAAATAGGCCAACCTGTCTCTGTTAAAATGTAAATAGGCTGTCTGGTTTCTATCACTTGATTCTCATCAATACAATTGTAAGATATATAAGCAAGGAAAATAAATGTGTTAAAAATAACCAAAGCTCAGTAGTTCTGGACAATCATCAATACAGCTGTAATATGTATAGACAGGGAAAATAAAGTTATGAAAGGGAACTAAAGTTATGAGAAGTAACTAAAGCTTATAAAGTAACTAGAGTCTATAAGACTCAAATCGTACACTGGACAGACCTATTGAGAATGAAAAGTGATGTTAACACTAGTTGTAGCCTTGCATCAGATTAGTGACTGGAAATTGAACACAATCACTTTGGCCTATGTATCAACCAATATTAGTCCTTTACCAAGGTATCATACTGACATTGGCATCTGTTAAGTATCAAGAAATGTCAATACATGAATACCAGATATGTGGGACCATTTAGAAGTGTCTCTGTTACAGTCTCTGTACACCAGCAAGGGCTGACAAGTTCATTATGCAAATGTAAAATGCCCTGCTCTGTACATATTTTTGGTACAATATTCTTTAAAGACATATTTAAGGAATCCTTGTCCAAAATGATTGTTTGTTTATATTGGGACCTTTAAGTAAAGAAATTGGCCTAATTTCAGTTGGTGTTATCAAAATGTTTAAGATGTCAAATGCTGATATAGATATTTGACTCAATAATCCCATGTCTGCCTGGATGTAATTACTGAGACATGTTGTTTTATGATACAGGAACACCATGGAGGAACAAACTACAGACATCGAGGTCACAGTCAAAACATTAGACTCCCAGAGCAGAACCTACATTGTCGGGGCTCAGGTATATTCATCAGTTTTTGACTGAATACTCATTTTCAGCCTTGGAGGTCGTCTCCCTCATCTCTGTTCCACTTTTTAAAATTTTTTTTTTTTTTTAGCTGACAGTGAAAGAGTTCAAGGAGCATATTGCCCCTTCAGTGGGTATTCCTGTGGACAAACAGAGGCTCATCTACCAGGGCAGAGTGCTACAGGATGAAAGGACTCTGGCAGACTATAGTAAGTAACCAAGGGGTTAATTAAAGTAATATGTAAGTTGATTTTAAATTCTTTCAAGGCCTCATTTAGATTTGTTTTTAACACTCAATGTAGTGTTGTTTTTTTAAGTCACAGGTTAAAAATGTTTTTGTCATTTATTTGTATCTACATTGACACTGATTGTTACAGTTTATTTGAGAGTTTGCTGTTCTTTTATTGTAACTTTTCTTAAGCTTTGGTTTAGTTTGCTATTGTGGTCGACCACCACTGTGGGAGAAAGTCAGAGCCTGTATTGCATTGTTGACCTGCGATGGTTAGATGAGTAATTGATTAGCTGTTTGACAGAAAATTATTCGGCAACTGTTTTGTTAATTGCAGAGCTTTTGATGCTTTTAGTTTTTACAGTGTAAAGATTTGCCACTTTTCCCTGATTTGATATTGCAGCAAACTGAATTGGACTATTGGTCAAACATCAAAAGTGTTCATTTTTCACAATTTTCTAGTGCTTTACAGACCAAACAAACAAAAAATTAGAAAATAACCAGTGGATGAATGTAGATGAATAGCATTGAAAATGTGCCTTAGTTGCAGCCTTGTTGCATCGCGTAGTTATTTCTCAAACACCCTCCTTGGGCTCCAATTTAAACAAACAGTTAAGTGGAACTCACTCAACCATGTCTCAGCCTTTATGTAGAATTGCTGGCAGAAGTGCATTTGTTAGATATATATTTTTTGGACTTGAGTGATGAAGTCAAAAGTGAAAATGCTTCTTGTTTTTCAAAACAAAAAAGTGAAGTCAACGTGCTGTTATGTGTGAAGTTGTAACTATAGTTATCTGTTGTCCAAGATGTGGGTGGCAAAGTGATACACCTTGTGGAGCGGGCACCCCCTCCACCCTCCCAGCCTGGCTCAGGGTCAGGAGGCACTTCAGCTGACAGTGGTCACTCCTCATCCTCCCAAGGAACACCCCAAGTGCCTCCACATGATCGCAACGCTAACAGCTATGTAATGCTTGGCACTTTCAACCTCCCTGTCAACATCATGGACCCCCAGCAGATACAGGTAGGTCTGCTTTGTGACTTGTTTAAAACAGTATTCCTATTATAGTTTGACTGTCACAATATGATTCTGTGGCCATGAAAATCTGCCCTTAACATCTGGAATCACATTGATATCATTATTACTCTGAAAGTTATTCAAGAAAATCACTGTTTCACAAATGGTGATTTTCTTCAATATCTAGCTCAGCAACTGTTCGCGGCCCTCTGTTGGACCAGCAGAGTTTCAGACAGAATTTGATTTTACTTGCAAGTCTATAGTATTGTTTGTTGTCTCTCAGTTGCGAGTTTTCCGTGAGCCCTATAAATTTGAACTTTCAGGATCACCGGATCCAGAATATTACTTGGATCCAAATTGTACTTTGGTGTGTGGCAGATCTTACGTGGATGTTATTGTGACATTTTTTCCATGCATTCTAGGCATTATATATGAATTTAGAAGCAAAAAATATTGACAGTGGTGAAAAATCCTTCAAAATGTTCCTGGATCCAGATGATGATCACCACCAAAAACTAGTGGATTGTTCCATGGACCATACTCTACCTTTCCCAAAAATTTCATCCAATCTGTTGATTACTTTTTGAGTTACGCTGTGAACAAACCAACCAACAAATGCTGGTAAAAACATAAGCTCCTTGGCGGAGGTATAATTCAACCATGGGTCTTTTTTTTTTTCTTTTTTTATTTAGAATAATTAAACAATGCAAGATTTCTTGTTAGTTAGTGATAACAGATTTACAGCTGCTTATGTTGCTAGACAACTCTTTTGGCAATAAAATGAATTGTACACAAATGCTTGCTTTTTGACACACTAGGAGACTTTTAATTGATTGATTATCCGCACTTGGTAAAAAGTGACCTGTTCTATTTATGGTTGGGTGAAAATACTGCTGTGTTTGTTGCTTTAGAAGTGTTGTAATTTAAATTGTTGCATGTAGTATATTCCTAAAAAGAATGTTTGTCCTTCATGTTAACTGTTTCCGAAGCTGTATTCATTCTTTGCTTTCCTTCTTTTCGTTTAAAGATGTCAGTTCAGCAGATGGTGTCTGGAATGGGGGAGAATGTGAGGAATGCCCGAGTGACAACCAGCACCGGGGTAAGATCCAATGCCCAGTGACTGTATATAATCTCACATGATATTACACTATGTTTTGTTAATTGTCACCTTCTCTGTTGCAGAGCAATGGGTCTGTGAATGTGCATGTTGACATGGATCAGCCAGTGCAGAGCGAGCCTAGGCTGAGGCTGGTGTTGGCAGAGAATTTACTTAGGGATGTCAGTGATGTTATCCACAGGATGGAGGTGAGAACCCAACCTTCAACTTATTCGAGTAACAAAGTTCCTGGTAAATGGCTGCTGTTCAGTAACAAATACACCTGCTATCTTGTGTCTGTTGTCAGGGTCGGCCAGGCGACTCGTCCTCCCAAACAGAGACAGAAACAGCTTCTGCTGCTGCACCCCCTCCCCCGTCATCTTCATCTACAACCTCTACTCCTTCTCCCTCTGCCCAGCCCATGGACACCTCCCCACCTCCAACAACTCCTTCACCTCAGCCCACCTCTTCATCACAGTCTGATGGACCAACTCCCCAACCTGGACCCAAGTGAGAAATCTTATTGCTTACTGACCCAGATCATTTTTATGCCACATACTTAATGATTGACTCAAGCAGTCATTTTTTTTTTAACTACAAGTTTTTTAAGCCACATGAATGTCAAAAGAACGTGAAATTATGTAGAATAAATGCTGATCATTCCTGAACTTTGAAAACATAAAACAGATCATTTTATTAAAACTAATGTGTGCATATGCATGTATTCTCCTGCCAGTGGTATATCTTTCCATATATAGAATCTAAAGCTTTGTTGTTCTTTTTTCTGTAGTCATCCCAGCCCAGCTGAGCTGGCAGAGATATTATCTGAGCTGCGGAGGGTGGAGGAGAGACTGCAGCCCTTCATTCAGAGGGCTCACACCATCCTGGAGACGGCCACCACTGCAGAATACAACAACAATACAGTAGGATTTGAACTCCAAAATAATAATTCACTCACTGTATAAGTGAAAATCAATGATAGGATGTCTATTAAATGTTTAACATTTAAACAAGATAATTCTGGAGCCATGTTAGCAGCTCTTTAAGGCTTTATTTAAACACACCTGTACTTTGAGCTATTTCTGCACTCCTCTATGTGTGACATCACAGTGCAGTAGGACCAAAATGAAGACTTTCACACAGTCTCATACATTACTGTGCTAATAGTAGAATACTCTTCAAATACAATCCTTGTTTGTTTATATTCAGCTTCTGTTAACTCTTCAATCATCAAAATCATGAGCTGTTCAACATAGATTAGTTGTTATTTAGAAAGTTGTCCAAGCTCCTTACTTTTCTACCACAGGAGAGAGAGGAGGACCAGCGGACTCTCATCCTGACCTGGGAGTGTCTACGTCTTCTTGGTAATGCCCTTGTGGCCCTCAGTGACCTTCGACTGAACCTCATGAGCCCTGTGCCCCGCCACCTACATGTGGTCCGGCCATTTTCCCACTATGTCACCCCTGTCACTCTGCCTGGAGCTGTACACCACCACATCCCAGTGCAAGTAAGTGAGCATGTATTTTAGTTAGAGGCTATTAACCTGATTTGTCAATTTAATGCCACTGAATGTGCTTGCATCTTCACCAACAGATGAACCTAGGAGCCACAGTGACTGTGGCAGCTAACGGCTCTGAGGGACAAGCCCCACCCACTCAGTCGGCCAGCCAATCAGAGCAGGCAGGTCAGGGACAGACCTCCCCCCCACAGACTTCCCCATCCAATCAGCAGGTTGGGCAGGGACAGGCTGGCCCCCGAGTCATCAGGATCGGCCACCAGGCAGTCCCGGTGGTCATGATGCAGATGAACACGGACGGTGTGTTGTCCCCTACCTCCCACTGATTGAATGCTCCACCTCAAAGCAGTTTGTGTCATATTGCTGGGCAGCAGTGCACTGGAGTGAAATGAATACCCATACCACACCACTGCATCTTCAGTGTTTTGCTGCTGCAAGGATTTGATGATTAATCTGAAGAATGATACTTGTCTGTTTTAGGCTCATGAGATTTTTCCCCATGTTTGTTGAATGATGGCTTTATTACTACAAATGCATGTCTGTAATGAGTGATATACTGGTAGATGCTTGGGGATTGTACAAGGGAGTTCACGCAGTCTGTGTTGTTTTTGTGTGTCTAGGCCAAGGTGCAAACCCTGCAGCAGCTGGTCAGCAAATGCCTGGGCAACCAGGTAAAAGCCAGTTGATGGTTTATTTGGCATGCTGCATTTCACATCACAGCATGTAGTCATGTGAACTGTTTCCAGTCCAGTTTTTCTGTTCTTCCAGTTTGTAACAATTAGGTTCACTAAATCATAAATTATTTGTAATAAATTGATTGACATAACTAAATAGCAGCTAGGGCTGCATGATTATGGCAGATATCATTATGATGATTTTGGTCAATATTGAGATCATGATTATCTAACTCTGTTTTTGGAAACATTGTGCATTTACTGAACTTAAAAAAGAGCTTGTCTTTTAACAGTGGGTTATTTTGAACTTGAACTTAAGAACATATTAAGTATACCATCTACCCAATCGTGAATGACAGTTCAGAGGAAATTACTGATTACTCTACATTTATTTTACAAACAAAACTTTGCTACTTCAGGTTATCAGCATTGCTTGTCATAGCCCAAAAAATTGTTCTGTCTGCTGAGCTCACCATGACACAGCCACATCTACAGTATCTCTCTTCCTCTCCTTTAACAGCAAGGCTACACACAGGCATCTTTCACTTTGGCTTTCTCATAACAAGCTTGCTACGGTTAACACAAACTGCCAGTGCATGACAGACTGCAAGCAACGCTGAAATTATGACTTGTTTATGCTTGTTTGGCGGAGATTTTGATAACTCTTGACTTTTTCCTCGTGGAGGTATTATTGCATGTACAGTAAGTAGCTTAGGTTTTGTCAGCTCCAGTGATGTTTCACTTCACCCGATGCTGGATTTATAACACAAGACAAAACAAGAGCCTCATAGTGAAATGGAATATGACAATCATTTTATCTCGATTTATTTTGTTTTCATAATCATTGTCAGCCAAAACTGTAACAACTTTCATAATGACACCTTTGGGTTATAGGAAACTATGATGGACATTTTTCAATCGACAAAAGTTTAATCCAGGAAGATAATTTAAAGCTAAATTGATAATTATTATTAATTGCATTAACTCTTAAAAATCCATTTTAGTTTCTGCTGATAAAAGAATTAAATTGTGCTCTTCTTTTTTATTTTTATTTATTTATTTATTTTATTTTTTTGTCTGTTTCACCCATCAGGAGCCCTTCCCCCTGACTTTATGCGGAATCTCATGCAACAGATCAGCCAGTACGCCGCTGCTGTAGCTACTAGTGCCGCTACAGCTCCACAGCCAACTCCTCAGCTACCACCACAGGTCCTAACACACCCACAACCACCCCCACTGCCCCACCACCACCTCCCCATACTGGCCCCCATCCTCAGGCCAGGGTTGTGTTCACTCGACCATCCTTTGTACCCAACATGCCGCCTCCAGCTTTTGGCACCCGGGGAACTACCATCAATGTAAGGGCTGCCATGCCAGGTCAGCAGCCTGGACAGGTCAGATAACTAACATGTTTTCTCTTGGTTCCTGTTTGCTTTTTGTGGTTGATTGTCGGCATGATCAACATTTCAAACTAATTTAAAAGTCTTGCTTTACAGGCTTTTAACCCTGCTGCTCTCAACCAGATGATTAGCGGACTGGTTGGACAGCTTTTGCTGCCAGGACAAATGGGTAAGTTTCTCTAGTTATTTAAATTTGGATCTGGATTTAATCAGCAGCATTTTTTTGTAATTACAAGTTGGGAATTAGTCAAGGATTGCTGTCCATCAGTTATATTTTAATCTGTTTTTCCCCCACAGCCAATCACACAGTCACATCCTCCTCCTCCTCATCCACATCCTCCTCTTCCTCTCAAACATCCTCCTCATCCTCCTCCTTTTCTTTCACCACTTCTGGTCCAACACCCCAGCCTAGTGTCAGCGCTACTAGTCCACCGAACCAACCTGAAACCAACTCCAGTGAGCCCCAGTCCCAGGAGATGCCCCCAGACCTCAGCCAACTCCTGGGTTCTCTCATGGGGGTAGCCGGTGTGGCTGGTGCAGGCTCTGGAGGAGCCCCTTCTATTACAGTCACCACGTCTGGTGTCCCAGCTTTCATCCAGGGAGTGACTGAATTCATGCAGCAGGTTAGTGTTTGAATGTTCAACTTGATTGCTCGTAATAGATTTTGCAAATTGCTGAAAATTACTCATGCATTTGGATGTGATTTGGATAATGTCCATATAATTTCTGTAATCCGGAATGAGATGCACACAGACCATGTTAAAGGATTGTATCGGTAAAAAATGACAAACCTTTATCTGTGAAAACTGAATTGATTTTAGATCTAGATCTAATAAACATATTTAATTTGACAAGTACAACCGGGTGCACACTGTTCATATTTTTTAAAATGTCTTACAACTAGTGAATGCTGATACATCACCTAAACCAGATCAGTGTTGTCAACATTTTTACTTTCTGTGGATTCATTTTGGTTATTTTGGGCTTTTGGGCTGCTAATAGGGTAGAAAGGCCAACAGCGAGTAAAGCAAAGTAATGTTAACAAATGTTCATTTCTAGGCCCAGCCCATCTTCTCTCCACCCCCACCTCCCTCTGGTACTGCTCCAGCTCCTGCTGCAGGGACCAACCCCGCGCCTAACCCCTCCACAGCAGCTGAAGCCCTCAACCCCGAGCTGTTCACGGGCATTGTCCGTGGCGTCCTGAACACCATGATGGGCTCTTTGGCCCAGGCTGAGAACGACACAGAGAGCATTGCTCAGTTCATGCAGAGGCTGTCTCAGGCAACCAACATGTTCATCAGCCCTGAGGATCCTACAGGTAAAAAAAAAACAAAACAAAAACAGCTGCTGAGAGAAAATATCTAAATTTCAGTTGTTTCAGTTGGATTGTTTAATTTTTTTGTTTTTTTTCCCCTTTTGTTTAATTATGGCTCCCAGGGTTTTTTGGAGAGCTGCTGATGCTGGTGTGCCAGACATTCACCATGTCAGACCTAGTAATGCTGCTTCATGGCCAGCACCAGCCCCTGGGTCGCATCCAGCCTCAACTGTCCCAGTTTTTCACCCAGAACTACCTCGGTGGCAGAGAGCCCACTGACCAGAACATCGCTGTCAGTATTTTTCACCAGAAAAGATTTTTTTTTTTATTTGAATGTTATCTCAAGATGGATTTAACATCATTTAATAATTAGGCATTTTTACACCTAGTTAGTTCTGTTGTGTATTTTATTATTGGTCCCATTTTAAAGGTTTTGTATTCTTTTGCTGTATGTTTGTCTCCTTCTCCTTCTATTTGCATTGATTCTCTTTTTTTCCCCCTTGTACTCCTCAGGATGCTGCTGACAGCCTTGTTGGTGAACTGGAGGAGTACATCACTGAGAGCTTTGTAAGTCCCTAATGTCTAGTCCTCTTCCAGTAAAATACAAAACGGTATATGATTAAATTTTACCACAAGATATATTTATTTACAGTATAAATTATATATAAAAGCCAAAAAAACTACATCACCACAAATAAGGCTGTGTTTAATATTTCTTCATTGATTATTCATATGCTGTGTAGCAGAATGCATGCATCGTGTGTCAGTAGAAAGTTGACCACTAATACTGTGATGTTACACATTAAGTTAGATCCATGTTTCAAGTAGTGAATTGACAGTTTATGATGGTGGTAGGTACCTGGACCTTCACCTGGAAATGAAATTAATTACTTTAGTGTTCCTTTTGGGTATTTTGAACCCTCTGTATTAGGTAAAATCTTTAAGTAAAATGATTCATGACTAGCATGCAAGGTGGTCAAGGGGGATGACAGTCAGAGATACTAGACTGGAAAATTGGAAAGTGCCACAAATTCTCTTACACTGTTCATACAGCCGGTTCTTGGCCCATTGTCTTTCTGCTCTACCTGTGGAACTTTAAAGCCACTTTTAACATCAAATTACCTAAATATTGAAATTCTCTGCATATGTAGTTGTAATTTTTTTTTCCTTTCTCGTGTAATTGTAAAAACATCTTCACCTCCCCCAGAGAGAATCTTCAGTCACTGTGCTGGAGGGTGTTGATATCACACAGACCAACATGTTGTTCTTCAGACAGCAGCTGATTCGCATCGCTACACACATTCTGCGCTGCACCGGTAAGCTGTAGTTGTGTTGTTTTGATCCTGCCATTGCTCCCATTTGTGTCAAGTAGAGGAAGTACTGCAGGTAGTCGTATTTGAATTATTTATTAGGAATACTGTTGAGGTGAACAAGTGGTAAAAAAAAAAAAGTCAATTTCATGTTCTCTGTAGCCAGTATGGTGCTAGAATTTATTTAAAGAAATTTAGTGTATTTTTGTTAATTATTTAATATCAATATTTTTTCTCATGCAGATGATTCATTTGGGCCCCAGCTGCTACAGATGTGTAACCAGGCACTGTTTGAATGCCTTGCCCTCAACCTGCACTGCCTGAGAGGAGACCAGAGAGCTCTCACCGCAGTCATCAACCACAGAATAGTCAGTATATAATGTTTGGTGCATAAGGTTTTGTGATGCTAGAAAAGTCACAGAGAGAAAACCTGCTAAAAGACAAAATGCACAAATATAAAAGTTTCCTTTTGTTGTTCTAGCGGAGGATGTCCAGTGACATCAACCCCTCTCTGGTCAACTGGATGACCAGCATGATGACGATGAGGCTGCAGGTCATACTGGAGCACATCCCTGTTTCACAGGAGCAGATCCAGAACTACATAGTTCACACACAGGTAATGGCTCAGTCAGTCGGCTCTTTCAAAATATTTACTGTTTATTTTAGCTCAGTGTCTGTGCCCTCTTCTCAAAATAAGGATGGACACTTTAGCAAGCTTCACAGGTATAGTGTGGCCTCTCAGGTCATCAGTTACAACCAGCGATCAGAAATTTCTTTATTGCAAATGTAGTTACTGTAACTGTAAATTTTAGTTTCTTTCAGAATAGAATGCACGTTACACACAGAGAAAGCAGCCTATCTTATCTGATGGCTATTACATATCCAGTTACTCTCGACAGCACATGTGAAATGGCTGATAAATTTTAAATGACATTCTTACAGAGAGATCACTCTTCTGCAACTGGCACACAAGAGTCTGAGCGAACAGAAAGTGCAACGGTGAGCACACGGTCTTTTTCATGTCCTGTTCAGATTAACTCACTTTGACAGCTTAGGTACAGCTTTGTGTTTTAGTTCCCTCACTTCACTGTTCTCCACCTCTAAAGATTGGGGACACCCTCTCACCAGCTGCAGCCACCACAGCAGAGGAGGCCATGTCAGTGTCAAACGACACAAGGGCGTCTTCACAGGAGACGAGGGTGTTGCCTGGAGACCTGGGAACCTCGGGAGGAGCCGTACCATTAGGTGGCGGCATGGCAGGAGCAGAGGGAGGGAGTGACGAGTCTGCTGGAGAGTCCTGGGCTGCTGCTGTTCCCCCTGTAAGAGCCCCCACAGTATGATTATTCTTTTTGTTTCTAAATATGAAGCTGGGCAGTGCAACTAAACATAGTCACAAAGAGTATCCCTGTTACTCTGAATAATGGGATGAACAAACTCAACAGCTTTTATTGGTACGGTTTCTTCTGTAGAAAGTAATTCCAGTAGAAACTGTTGTAATGAAGTCTGGGGATTAGCCAGAGTAACTACATCCCAAGTCTCTTATAAGTACTGTCCTATCCCTCACTTGCTGCTTTTCCTTGTGTCTTGGTCCTGCCCACATAAGCTGTGATGACACATGACTGGAGAAAACAACAAAACATGGCATCTTTTTCTCAGATCCTTCGTCTGAAGCATCTGACCACCAACCGATTTCTGATAAAGGGGCATGTTGGTTTATTTCACAAAAAAAAAAAAAAAAAAAATTTCTGCACAAAGTTGGATCCTTGGTCATGGCTCCTCCAGCGGGCTCCTCAGTCCTCAGAGTCGATATGATATAAGAGAATTGGAATGTTCTCAGTTGACCAGAACCACCTCCAGGTCGCCAGAGGACGTAGGAACGATCTTATAAGAGACTTGAGATGTACCCCTTGATTCTGGCAAGACAAACTGATGTTGATCTAGTGGAGTTTTTAATCAGCCTTATATGATCTTTTCAGCAGTACTTTAAAGGATAGTTTCCATTAATTTTAAAGTGTCTTGAGGGATAAGGCCGGTGATTATGTGTTTATTTTCCACAAATCTCATACAGAGACTAAAACCAGTAGTGACCTTTGTGTACTCACCTTAATGCATGTGAATCCAGACCATGGTTCAGCTTATTGGTCTATGTCATAGAACTCAGTTATTGGCCAAAAGTATTAAAAAAAAAAAAAAAAAAAGCACTCAAGTAAGCCACACCGCTGCACTCTGTTTATTCTGCCTGCAAAACAGGAGGCTGGTCTTCAAAAATAGCTCCAAAGGTTAAGAACCCATCACTCTTTAGTCTCTATCTTTGGAGCAGAGATCACACACTAACTTCAGAGTAAACAGACAGAGAAGCAAAGTAAAGTAAACACTGGCTCACGGGTGTGTTTATAGTAGTTTTAGGACAATAAGGAATGTCTACGGCAGAGACGAATAAGCTAAACCAGGGTCCGGATTCACAGTCATTACAGTGAATACGCAAAACTCAGTTGGTTTTAGTTTGTGTGGACTTGGTTTAATAAAAAAATCACCAGCCTCATCTCCTAAAACAACACAACATCCATGTCATTCTAATATGAGACTTCAGTGGCTTCATTAAATCAAGTGGAATTTTCTAAAGTTTGGTTTCTTGGCACAAATTTCCACTGCGTTTCCCTGTAAAGTGCATCTTACGGTAGAGTATTAGTAGCACAGAAAGGGGTTTGACTGCTTTTAGACAAGACAGACTTAAACCAGTGTGAACCTATTTTTTAAAACGTACCCAGCTAACTAAAAATAATAATTTTATCACTCCTGTGTATTTACTGCACATGTTGTAGGAGTGGGTGCCAATTATCAGATGTGACATGATCACCCAGAGGAAGATGAAGGCTCAGCCTCCTCTGTCTGACGCCTATTTGCATGGCATGCCAGCTAAACGTAGAAAGGTAATCAAATCTGTTTTAGTCCCTCAGCTCATTACATGAATGTGTTTCCAGCCCTTACCTTCTTCAAGTTGTGTGTTTGCGTTTTCAGACTGGACAGGCTAGTGGAAGCCTCCTCTCCCTGTCTGATGCAGTGAGTCAGGCAGCCAGGACAGCAGGAGTGAAGCCCATCACCTCTGCTGAGCGGTTACAAGACGACCTGGAAACACATGAGCTCAAGGAAGCATATGCAGAACAGGTAACAAACCCTCATCTGGATCTCACAACAGCACAGCATTTACATTACGGTTTAGGTACCATTGACATTGGTTGGTTACACTGTTAGACGTGTTTGCTGTAGAAGTCAGGTCTGCTTTAACGTAAAGTAAAAGTCAAGTGGATTTCAAAAATGTACATCTTGGTTAATTTTGAACCTACCAAACCAGTTTTACAGTGTAGTAGTTTCACACTTCTGGTGTGTTTCTTTTATACAAGTAGATGAGATAAACAATTTGTTGATTAGTCAATTAAAAATATTCAGCAGTTAATTGGATAAAATGAACAAAGATTCCATGTTATAGCTTCTCAATTGTAAACATTTGCAGCTTTTGGACTCTGTTACATGGACAGTATGTTCACTTTCTTTAAAATGATTAAGTGATTAATCCAGACAAAAACTGGCAGATAGTTAATAAAGTTATTGTCATTAGGTTTTAATTAGTACATTTATAATATATTTCTTGTGATGAAACAATTTAAATGCCTAATTATTCCAGGGGCACAGCTGTCATTATTTCACCTTTACTCTGTGCTAATCTGAGTGAACAAACCACAAGGTCACTTTCTGACAAACTGCTTTTATGTTCCACCATGATAACTGTACTTTTTTTGGTCTCCCAGGTTAAATCAGACATCAAGAAACGAGTGAGGGAAGACCCGGATTTCAGCTCTCAGCAGTTCCCCAACTCACACAGAGCCTTCTCCTCAGACTCATAATCAAGTTCAGCTGATACCCAACCAGCAAGCACTCGAGCTGTTTCCATCCTCATTTGTATTATTGTTATTTTAGATCTTCCTCTGACTCCTGCTCAATGTAGCTTCACCCCCAGACTGTCTGTATACTGTTTGAACAGTTAGCAGCTTAATGCTAGTGTGACTACTTCCCCAGTGCCTATTTATTGCTTTGTGTTTATTTTTGTCCAACACTTGCTGAGAGAATGTTCCATGTTATGTTTGACTGTATGTCGGTTTTTTTCTTTTGATTTCTTATCCTCATGTAGCTTTGTTAATATGAAGCCTGATCTCATTATTTAGTGGACATGCGCTCAGCACTCCTGCACTCAGGAGTGCTGTTTGGTACATGAATGTACAGAAGCTTAATAAAAATCTTGATACATTACAAAACAACGGTCCTTTTCTGGGTGATATCAATTTGAGAAGGGTTGAAAGCAGCTTTGTATGCCTGATAGTAGCTTATTATAGATCAGTATCCCATTCATTTGCTGGTAAGCAACAAATTATGGATACATTTTACAGGTTTTAATTGAAGTTGAGCTATTTTTTTTCAACTTGTATAAGGCTGAAATTTTCATTATAAGTTGATTTTCTCCTCAATTTGTTGATTGGTTAGCAAATTTTCATTTCTAATGAATGGATAATCAATGGAAAAGCAGCAACTCCTCATTGGAACCATGAAATATGACATTTATCAAAATAATTACATTCTGTCAATTGCTTCAGTTTAAAAAAAAAAAACGGATCTATGAAAACATACAAGATCTTTGTATATGTAGTTTTACTAGTTACCTTGTAATTACATACAGCTATCAGGTGGAGTACAATATTTAACGTAGGGTATATATATTTGTACTTCAGTAAAGTATTTGGATAAATGTACTTTCCACAACATGGCTGTTTGTACACTAGAGGGCACTGACAACTTTTTCATCCGTAAAATGTCCTGATCAACATCTCGTCTCAAGTTCTTTGCCAAATTCATAGGATACAAACCGAAATGTTTTGTTGTCTTTTTAATTTTCAATAATGCTTCAGACCCTAGTTCAAACTAAATGGAAAAGGGACCTGCTTTCACTTTCAAAGTTTGGGAAATATAAGCTACAGTATACCACAGAAGTGAGTACACCCCCTCACATTTTGTAAATATTTAAGTATATCTTTTCATGTGACAACACTGACGAAATGACACTTGGCTACAATGTAAAGTAGTGAGTCTACAGCTTGTATAACAGTGTAAATGTGCTGTCCCCTCAAAATAACGCAACACACAGCCATTAATGTCTAAACTGCTGGCAACAAAAGTGAGTAAAATGTTTATACTCACATATATTATTTGCCATCTTTTATGTTTTATCAAATTGTTTATTTTAATCGATTTTATAATTTTACACCCCCACCCCCCTCCCCCTCTCGACCAACCTTTACTTTGCTCCATCTCATTCCTCTGTAAACAGGAGTCTCATCTGCTGAGTGGAGTCTCACTGTGTCCCATCACTTGGTGCTGAAAGTAAAAAAATAAAAAGGTAGATCCTTTAAGTAAAAGTCATAGCTACAATGTAAAAACACTGCATTACAAGTCTCGCATTCAATATCCTACTGAAGGAAAATTATCAGCAAAACATCGAAAGTAATATAAAGTACTTGTTTTGCAGAAAAACAAGTTCGAATACTAAGACAAATGTACCAATATGTAGGAAGCATTTTCCTGTTGATTGATGTGGATTTTTGCTTGCTCTAATCATTCCTCCTGTCAATACTGGCTATTAAAATGTCTTAATATACTTCCAGTATATACTGTAAGTATTGTGGGACAAAATCCACCGTATAAGACATAATTATTCAACAGACAAAATTCATATGCAATTATTTTAAGTGTATCAGTTAACTGTTTTTTCAAGCAAACATGAGGATTTTCTTTGTTTTATATTATACTTATATAAATATATTTTGTTTTTTGACTCGTGATCTGACAAAATCAATTTGAAAATGTCACATGGGATAAAATTGTAATGAGCTTTTTTTGTCGCTACTTTTTGACATTTCACTGTCTAGTAGTTGCAGCCCTGATCCACAATTCTCCTTCAGTGCCAAAACACATTAAAAACTGTATCTGATGTTAAATGTGAGGCTTCAACAGTCTGGGTTAAACAAATCAAGTAGATATTTACCAAATTTTGGCCTTTTTACTCCAAACTTCTCCTTTTTTTTTTACTCCTCCTCCTCCACAGCTCAGCAAATAAACACTGCAACTTTGCATGGCATTCATTTGAACTGTCTTCTACTGAAGCCTTACATTAGTTTATGATCATGGGTGGATTACTGAACAGGTCCATAGGCCTGGAGCCCCTCACTACTTGAGCTCAACCTCACTACAATGGACATCTGAGGTGTCTTAATAGTTCTTATTGTGTGATAACAAAGACATGCAAAACAACAAAAAGAGATACAAAACAAGGACAAAGTGATGTTAAATAACCAGAGACACACACAAGAAAAAGAGATTCAAATAAAATGACAGACAGGCTAAACTACAAAGATGTGACATAACACTGAAGACATAAACAACCACAAAAAGATGCAAAACAGCCACTAAGAGACATAATGATACCAACACATTATTTGTAGTTGTTTTACATCTTTCGGCTTCTATGTATCAGAGGTGGGGGACCTTTCACAAGTTTGTACCCAGGGGCTTGTCGTCACATGCTTCAGATAATTTGTTGAATATGTTTGTCATTTTGAGAGTAGATTTTGTCATTGGAAGGGTACAGCAAGCAAAACCTGTTCCAGTGTCCATCTGGAAACATGACTATTCTTTTTCAGACAAACTGGGAATCTCTAGAAGGTTTCAGCTAAGATTTGTGGAAAATTAAACGAGGCAATGCTAGCATACGACAAACATAAAATATAACCTGTTTCTGCCCATGCCCCCATTTCAGTAAAGTATGATAAAGTTACACAACACTTAGACATTTTACCTCTTTTAATTCACACTACATACAGTTGGCATATTTTACATGCCTTAATTATCTGTATCCATTTGCATCATCTGTGCTAACTTCATTTCATTTTAATTGTTTATCCTTCTAAATCAAATCCCTATTAACTGCTGCAGGGCTTAGTACAAAATAAACTGCCTTATTAAGTTATAAGTTGTTGCACCAAAACACTTTGACCATTATTTATTATAAACTTTCAAACAAACAACTGCATCAGTGAATACTTACCATGTGCTTCCTCTCTACCTTTTCCCCAGTGGCCTCTGACCCTGGAAGTATTTCCAAACTTTTCCTTTGTAAAGTTGCCTGTTTATTTAAGAAAAAAATAACTCACAATCTCAAAGTGCACTAGATATCTCATGCAGTGAGTTTTCTTAGAGTATTACTGTACATGTTCATCACTGCGTGTTATTTAAATATTTAATACCAATGGCCACGTGGTAGACTCCAACCTGTCAAGTTGGCAATGCAGCAGCTGAGCTATCTGAGCTCATAGACACACTGATGAACTGGTTGGACTGGAGTCCATTTCCCCATCAGAGGAATTTAAACAGTTCCTGGTTGGCATCCTGTTTGGGGTGAGCAAATAACATGGCACCAAGTTACGTGCTCCTGTATAAACACACACCTATCTGCACTTGATCCGACCGGCAAAGCATAATAAAAGAGTATCAGTGTTCTGCAACTGTGCACGTTTATTTTGGACATATTAGGGTCAACTCCAAATTGTGAGACAATGATTATGAAATCAATGTTCATGGGTTAAACAGAAAGCAAAGAGCAATAAATACAACAAAACTATTGGTTTAATAATATTTTTGTCTGTCTAGAAGTAGCAACAGGTCCAACTAATCTGATTCTAACCTTTTCCTGCTCATATGACATCCAGCACCCAAAAGTCCCTTTTGAAAACTCATTATCATTGGCGTTTTGATATCTTATATTGGTGTTTATTTTTAATGTATATTGTTATTTACACTGTACAGCACTTTGGTCCACCTTGGTTGTTTTTAGTGCTTTATAAATAAAGTTGGAATGGAATGGAACACGCAAAGCTCCAGTCTACTCAATGTATGTCGTCACCCATGACTAGTCTGGGCGTGGCAACTACAGTCACCATAGAGTCAACACTACCTCATTAACCTTATGCAGTTTCTTTGCATAAGGTGTTTGTGTGGTGAGCATGTACAAATGCTGTCAACCTCTATCACTACGAGACGTATTAAAATACTTATCAGGTTTCTCTTAAAGGCATAGTTTGACATTTTGGGAAATACTGTTTTCTTGCTGAGAGTTTAAGTAGAAGACTGGTATCACCATCCCATCTGTGGGTATAAAGCTATAGCAACAGCCAGTTAGCATAGCTTAGCATAAAGACTAAAAATGTGAAATAGCTAGTTTGGCTCTGTGCAAACATAACAAAATTAACCCATCAGCCCTGCTAATGTCTGCTAATCAAGACAACACGGGAGTTTGGAGCCTTGTCATCCCAGCAGGCACATACCTTCCAGTAAAACACTGCCTTTTGTACAAATTAAACAAGATACAACATGTTGACTAGTGAAATTTAGAGGTGCTGGTAGGTAGAACTCTTATAGTAAACTTTGGACATAACCAAGCAAACAGTTTCCCTGTTATGCTAAGCTAAGATAAATGGCTTCCGACTCCAGCTACATACGTACCATACAGACACAGGAGTGATCACTCTTCTAATTTTCACTAATTAAGTAGATACATGTCCCAAAATTTCAAACTAGTCTTAAAAAAAAGCCTATAAAAACAACACAATTTATGTTCTCGGCAGCAAACAAAGCATCAATTCAAATGAAAATAACCAAACAGCATATAATATAGTGACACTGTGGACATTTGATAAATAGAATATCATAGAACAGTTCTTACAAACAGAAAACTGAATTAACAAGAAAAAAAAAATGTTTGCTCAGGTCAGAACAGTACAGGATTTTATAGCCTCTCACAGACTCGTGTGGCCAGCGGCTCATGCTAACTGACACTAGTAATGTGTTTTTTTTTTTGACTTGGACTCTTCTCTACTCCTGTGACTTTTACAGAACTATTCAACAAGAGCCTCATTCTTGCTTTAAATCATACAAACAGAGAGATAAAGGGTGGTTTACATAGTTAAGGGGGAAATGTATTCAGCAGCGTCATTTCTGGTTTATTAAATTGTGAGTGGTTACAGAAAGGCTCCAGGATTTGATCGTGGATCTTTGAGATTTCTGTATCTGTGGGCGAGCCAAACTCCAAGGATCTAAAAAGAAACGCACACTTGTCAGTTGATTTGAGGAAACATTTCAAACCAGTTGGCTTTGCTCCCATGACAATTTACTGACCTCCGTGAAACTGAAAAAGAGACCGACACCACCCACAAACTGTAGCACTTCCCCAGCGTACTGCTGGATGATGTCTGAGCAGGGCTTACAAGGCTGTGTAGGGTTGTTAAAGCAACTCTGGAATAACGGGTGGGGGGGACACGACAACTGAGTCATGATCATGCAAATGAAGATTAAGATTAGACCAAGATGAAAAATAAAATTTTTCAGATGATTTACTTACAGCAGCACATGAGTCACTTTCATTAACAGAGGAGAAGCCACAACAGTGAAGTGTTTTCTCTATGTCCCGTTGTGTGGCCTCAGATTTGTTCCATCCAATCTCCAGCAGGTGCTTCTGTAAATGAAAGCCACATCCTGGTTACATTTCAATTTGCTGGATTTTTCCTCTAGAATATTAATAATAGTGGAATGGGTGAAACTGCTGACGTCTACTGAATCAGTCCACCCTTAATTGTTTGTTTAATGACTTAAGGTGGTGTGTTGCTTGCGACTCGTGAGCCTACAACATATACGAAGTGGCAGTTTTATAGCCTTATGTAGATGTGTGTATTGTAACAATGCTTTGCACTACTGTAAAAATAAAGCAGGGTCATGTCTAGTCACGTATTGTTTACTAAATGTCATGTTCACTTTATGTTACAGTTCTTTGTTCTGTATTCTGTCTGCATGCGACACATTCATGAATTATTTCATACTTTGTCAAGTGTCCTGAGACAACTTTGGTGTTTTAGCGTTATACAAATAAAATCGAATTTAGCAGAAAAGCTGCATTTACAGTGTTTTATGCATTTTTTTTTTTGTTTGTTATAGACAGCAGCAGGATGAGGTGGACAACTGAATCACAGAACAGTGGTGGTACAAGTACTCAGATCTTTTAAATAAAAATAATACCTCAGGGCAGAAACACTGTTACAAACCACATAACATATACTTAAAGTACATTCTACTAAATGGCCCACTTCAGAATAATATTTATTCTGTTATGGAATTATAATTATTAATGCATTTAGTGCAGGCTACATCACTTTAATACATTAATCAATACTATCAAATACCTAGTAGATAAAGTTGTCAAATAAATGGAGTTAAAAAAAAAAAAGTACAAACTTGAAGCCTAGTACCTCAAAACTGTGCAGTACTTTAATAAGTACACCCCCACCCCCCATAACACAGATTACCTCAGTTCATACAAAGAGAATTGCATAAAAATTTGTTTAGAAATGAGAGATTGTAGCCCTAAAGAAAACTATAGTACATAGGCAAAAATATCTTCACTTATGTAGTTCAACACAGGTAAAAACATACCTGTTGGTCTGTATTCAGGGACAGACACGCACAGGACACAGAGAACTGCACCACGAACACAATGAACAGGATCATCATGTACTGCACCAAGTTTAGGAAGTTGGATTAAAACTCCTGAAATCTCAGTGTGTTACTGCTACACAGGAACAAGTAAAACACAAGCTCAATAGAAGAAGAGAACCCTCAGAGAGATTTATGGTGATTTGGCACACAACCAGTCGTCAGAAGGTGCAAGATGACTTCCTGAACTCCTACAAACAAACCACTCAGAGAAACCAAAGGATACAAAGAAGAGCAGGACTTGGTGGTGCTTCATGGCACCGCACAGCCCCACAAAGGCAACTAGGAAGAGGAAAATACCCACGCCGATGACCCCTGCCACCACTCTGATGCTGGAGACCATGCCGAACCATTTACCCCAGGCTGCCACTCCGATCAGCAGCAGACTCACCAACTGTAGAGGAAAGAAAGTGAAACAGTGCTGGCATGAGAGAAGGAAGGACATGTTATGCATAGTATATGATTCACGTCATTTTCATACTCAAACCATTCTGCCCCTTGGCCCTGCGGATAGGGACCCCGTCATCTTGGAAGAGTCCACTCATTTTTCAGGTTTTTCTTTTTAACTTCCTACCTGTCTGGTGGTGATAAAACTCTGTACACTTATGGCTCAGAGAAGCCTACATCCACATAAAGCCAGGTAAATTTGTGAATGCATAGTTTTCTTTCAGTTTCAGCCTGAACTCCACACAAACTGTTTTTCCTTTCACAAAAACAAAGCCTCCAGAGTGTACAAACCATAAAATGCCAGGGTGATATACCCAACATTTACAGCTTTCGTTTTTTTTACTAAGATCTCTGATCTTTATAGCTACGCAGGCTCCCCTTCCTTATTGCTGGAGGATTTCTGAGCCATAGTCAGCCTAAGAGACGACTGCAGTAGTCAAGGTACAAAACACAAACCTTATCATAAAATATCAGGTCTACTAATTACCTTCTTTAGATTAAGGAAACTTAATTTTAAGTAGGTTTGTCCACTGACATTACAGAGAATTGCATAGCTTTTCTCCACTGTAGTATATCATGAAGACTGCCTGTTGCTTCATTTATGAATGTTTCCACTGCACACAAAGAACATTTATAACTTACTTTATCACGGTCTGCTTTTATCTCCGAGTCAAACCAGCACTGACAAACCAACTGGCTGCCATTACCTGGTCCTAATCGCTTACCACCAACACCTGCCAGTGGCGTCACCACAGAAAGCACGAGAATCACAAAGCACCGCCAACGTTTCAACATCTGTTAAAGCGTGTAGCACTCCCATAACAGACAAGTCAAAAGCAGAGACTCTGTTGCCAACTTAGACGAGATATTTTAGAATACATATCGGCTAAATGTCCTACGGTATAAAGGAAGTTCGTTTGTACTTACAATGTAAAGTATATTCAGAGCGCATAGTGCGTTCTTGGTGCAAGAGAATCCGCCACAAACCATCGCTGCTCCCAGGACAGTCCCTCACAAATGATACAATTTTTTTTTTTTACTTCTCCGACTTTTTAACCGATACGATGTCAGCAAGACACTACCAGACTCCTTGCACCTGTCGCGCAGGTCGAAACTGAACCAGGGAGCGTTTCCTGAGCAGATCCTGCTCGCTGATTGGTCACTTACCTCTGACACATATGAGTCACTGGTCATGCAGATAATAGCTTTTTATAGTTAGTTACAAATGAACACAGATTATCATAGGTAAAGGTTTACTAAAAATCAGACCTTCAAATTAAACTTACACTACATTTTTTAAATAAATATATGTTTAATCTACATATTGACAGCAGAAGTGAAAACAGAATGATCAACATAACAGAGCTGCTCACAAAGATACTGAGCCTTGTTAACGTCATTTGTATAACGACTGAGTTTAAAATTAAAGCACAACCTAATCGTTTTTCATACATTATGAGTGTACTCTGTAGCGCCACCTGGTGACAGCACATGCACACTACAGGTGCTTCATGTAAGCTCAGCATTTAATGGGAGTCAGAAACTTCACTGAGTGCAGTGTTGTGTGCAGTCTGTATGCTTCAGTGTCAGTACTTTGCCTGTGATTGAGGCTTTTACTCATTTTTAAAATATTACTTGTATTTTATTTTAAAAAATAATTAAAAATTATTTACTTCTTCTTCTTTAGGCTGTTCCCATTAGGGGTTGCCACAGCGAATCATCTGTTTCCACCTAACTATCCTCGGCATCCTCTACTCTCACCCCAATTAACTTCATGTC